GTTGCTCCAACAGTCAATTGGACAAGATTGAGGGAAGTAGGGCTCGTAGACCGGGTGGGCCCGTACTTGCAAAAGACATTTATTAGAGATGGCTATTCGTTCACCTGTTCTGGTTGGCAAAATCTGTTCCGGGTGCAAGATCGGGTCTAGAAGGAATTTTGTGTCGAGTTCTTCACAACGGTGACGTTTCAAGAAACGGTCCAAGATCCACATTGGCCACATGCGTTGGTATTTCGATTGGGGGCGAGTACCGGGAGTGCAGCCTAGTTGAGTTTGCTTGGAGAGTGGGACTGTATGATCGACAGGAGGCTGTGACTCCCGAGTTTGGCATGTTTTTAGGAGAGGCTGCTAGAGGATATATGGAGGGTGTCACGGGATATTCTTTTTGGCATAACATTGCCTCCGGGATGTTTAATTCCGGAGTATCTCCTGAGAGTAGTATTCGGTCCCCGATCCATCGTTTACTCCACCGGTTCATTACCTTTTCCATCAACCATAAGAGGCATGGAGACAAAGTGACTAAGCAGAACTTATTTTTCTTATGGTGCATCTTACAGCCTGGTGTCTGTTGTAACATCCCGTATTTCCTAGCCCGTTTTCTGGCTGGGTCTGCTGCGAGTTCGCGCCCTGGGAGCCCTATTTTGGGGGTCATTTTGTTACTCGTTTGGCCCGTTCTTATCATCTGATTGTTCCCGATATTATTAGATCCATGACGTGTGTAGACGAACATGACTTTGGTATGGGATATTTGGAGACTATGCGAGTGGTAGAAATTTTGGATCGCACTGGGGAATAGTTCCATCAGACGCTGAGGGTGAAGATGAGGATGATCAGCCAGCCGATCAACCTGCGCCAGAGCCGAGACCGAGACGCAGGAACGTAAGAGGAAGGGGAGACCGCGGGCAGCCGACACACCCAACTGCTTCCATGGTGGGTGCACCTTTTGGGGTGATATGGCTGGTTACTTTGACCAGTTATCGTTGAGTGTGAATTGGATAGGCGGCACGATGGAAAATGTGGTTCAACATCTGGGGTGGAGCAGCCGTCTCATTTAGGGTATCATTACCCGATTTGCCCGCGTTGGTCGGAGTATGGTGGTCGTGGAGGTGATGGAGCTGGTACCAGTGGAGCGCATGAAAATGAGGCGGATGATTGATCGTTATTTATTTTTTGATTTGTGTTTAGTTTCTTTTAGTTTATTTTAGTTTTTTTTAGTTTGTTTTTATGGGATTGTAAGAACTACTTTGAATATTATGTTTATTCTTCGTTGTTGATTGTTTCTCAGAAATTGCTATGGAGTGCTTAGGAGGGATAGCGAGTTATGGATGCGTACGTTTTTAGCTGGGAGTGTTTAATTCCGAGAGTCGAGACCCATATTTTCAAAATACGTTTGGGGTGAGTTAATGAAGTGGAGTGTCCGCGAATGAGTTATCAACTGATGACTTTGGAAGAGTCTTAATACATTAAGACATTAGAAGAAGGATTGAGCAATGTTTTCTACTTGTCCAGTTCTCACGACGTGAACATTTCTAATTCACGTCGTGAGTCAGTTATCAGGAGGTTGTCAGGATATGTTCAGTTCGATTTCACGTCGTGAATTATTACACGCTCACGTCGTGATCTTACATGTTTCCCCACATTGGTCATTCTACTTTTGGAGACTTACACCATGTTAAAAGATGATTGACCCGATTTCATGTTTGCGGGTACACTCCTTATTTCGCGAGTTCCAAATCAAGTTTCTATTTTTGGAAGTCCATATTCAAATTGCACATTTTCCGCACTTTTCGAGATGCTCACGCCGCTATTCCAGGGGAGTCTGTTCCTTTTTCTCCCTTTTCTTTAATTTTGATTTGTTTTTATACATGCAATGAGGGCATTGTATGAAATAAGTGTGGGGTAGGGTAGAAAAAGTAAATTGCTAGGAAATTTTGAAAATTCAAATTTTTATTAATTGAATCTAGTAATAATAATTTGAGCTATAATTGCTAGTATTATGCGGGATGATCCGATGAAAGTTCAAATGTTTAGTTGAGCCAATATACGTTATAGTGCATTTGTGGCTTCCCTTATTTTAGTGAAATCATGGAACAAAAACATAACCCCGCTCGGTTTGAAGGATGCAATATGTTTAGCAGCCTAAACCTGAAATGTATCCAGGGAAATTATTATCATTAACCAATAAAGGTTGAAGTTGAGCGCCCTGCTTAAGCATGTAGGGTTTTGAGTGGAAAAAAAAAGAACGAGTACATGTTAAAAAAAAAGAAGAGAATTACAAGAAAAAGTTTGAAGAATTTTTGGAGCATCAAAGTTAAAGTATGAAATTAGAAGATCAAAAAATTCTGAAGAAGTTCAAAAAGTTGAAGATACCAAGAAATCAAATCAAATAAGGAGGTGAATTCAAAGAAATCAAAGATCGGCTTGTTAAGAAAGTGAAGAATTCCAAAGAGCTCCATACTGGTATCATAAATTGTAATTTTCTAGATTATGTATGCTTGGGTTGCTCAACCAAAAATACCTTGAGGTTAAGAGGTTTTCTGGGGATGGATTCGGAGGGTTGCATAAAATGAGCATTGTTCGGAAAAAGTGGGCAAGTGTTTATGAAGATTGTGAGTATTTAAAGTATGGGGGTACTTTAGGAAAATTTTCGACACAAATGCATGCGTTGAGGTCTTGGCATAATGGCTGAATTGGAGTCGGATTGTTCAATGTAATGTTAGTTTAAATTTGCTTGAGGGCAAGCAAAGCCTAAGTGTGGGGTATTTTGATATTGCCATATTTATACTTATTTTTAGGCAATATTTAAGTACATTTTTATTAAAAAGTTGGTAATTTGTTTAGAATAATGGTACTTATGAGCTTAAATGTTGTTTACAGCAAAAAAAAAGAAGACATTTTGAAGAAAAGAGGACTGGAAACGTAAAGAAAGAAACTTGGGAATTAGAGGAGTAAAAGTGAAGTAAATCTGGAGAAAAGGGTTATTCACGACGTGAGAATTAAAGAACTCACGACGTGAATCAATGGTTCTAGAAGATATGTACGCGGGTGAAGAAATCCTTGGCGGGCACGGTTATCTACTACTCACGACGTGAATTTATTATTATTCACGACGTGAATGTATGGATAACAGCAATTATAAAGATCCTTGACCTTTACGAATGGGGGACTTTTGGCAGAAGAAAAGGAGTTCCAGGAGACGTTTCAGAAGAGAAGAAAGGTCCTGGAAGATGGATTTCAACACCAAAAGAAGTAAAGTTTTATATTTAGTTGATTATAAACATGTTTTTCATTAGTTTTAGCTGTGTTAGTTTAATTACTATGATGAGCAGCTAAATCTAGCTACTTTTGCTTAGCTAGATGAAGCTTTGAACTTATGAATAGTTATATGTTTATGGATTAATTTGAGTTGGTAAGAATTGTTTGTGTTTGATTTGTATAACCTAGCATGTTATTATTTGTTTATCTAATTGCTAGATTGCATGTTCTGTGTAGCTTAGTGACCATGAAACTGCATGAACTTGTTTACCTAATAATTTAGTGAACATTAAATTGTTAGAGCTAGGATTGACCAATCTTAGTTAGTAATTAGACTGAATAAATCTTAGTTGTGCTATAGAATGTGAATTGTGACCATAATTGCGTTTATACAACAAATCTTACATAGCATATCTACATTCATAATTAGTTGTGTTTAATTATGTGTGAACATACATGGTTTAACATGAATTAGTTACTTATTGGTAAGATAGAACTAAATTACTAATATAACTAAAACCCAACTTAATAACCCATAATCATTAGCTAGTCATAAGGAATAAGTGGATTCAACTAAGCAAGAGTGTGTTTTTATTTAATTTGATTAAGTTCATCTGATCTTGCAAAACCAGATAAAACCCTTTATTAAATTTGTTAATAAATTAGGTTAATTTAATAGTAAGTAGATTAATTAGTAACACCGTTCCCTGTGATCGACACCCGACTTACCTAAGTTATACTGTAATCTGACTAGGTACACTGCCTATAAGTGCATAGTTAGTCTTAGTTTGTTAGGTTATAAATATTAAAATTAGTGGGTACTTTTGTGCACATCACGCAATAGGGCCAAATCCCACTCTAAGATTATTCAACCCTGATCACATGTGATGTGACGTATTCAACTAATGGCTAAGTCCCATCACTTAGAGTCCCACAAAGCACAAAGCAAGCAGCATTCGGATACATGAAACTACTCAAACAAATCTATTCTCATAACGAGATACTGCACTAGCATACAATGCTAAGCTCATATTATCAAGCATAACCCTAACAGGCTATCCTACTATTGTCTACTCAATACTAGCATGCAAATCTTGTAAAGCTAAAGCACATATAGCAGGCACATAAGGCATCCTCCTAGATCCTTAGTCCTATACTAGCATACTGTTCTACTAAAACTGAAACTGAAACTGGAACTGAAACTGAAACTGATAATCATCACATAAACTTGCATGGGTAATTTGGGAGTACTTACTTGAGCTCGACTAATTGCAGGCACCACACCCTTTTTCTCTTTTATAAGTTCTTTTCTTTCTAAAATTTCTTTTTGCTTTTAAAAAAAAACTCTTTCTTTCCTAAAAATTTCTTTTCTAAAATGTCTTTCTTTTGAAAACCTTTTACCACTTCCTTAGTTTGAGTTCAGACACACTCGAAGTGTATCCGAATCCCTCAAACCAAGGCTCTGATACCAACTTGAAACATCCCAAAAATCACGACTAAAATTTTTCTTTTAAAAACATTACTAAAACCATATTCATAAAACTCGTATCATGAATCATAACATAATTTTGTAGCATTAATTCGAAATACAAACTTATTATCAGAGTAAAACATCCCAGGCTAGCTGACTATGGTGTGTGCACTGCAATCTTCCCGAGCTCCTCCTTTGAAAACTGAGTACCTAAAACCGAAAACTGAAACTGTAAGCACGAAGCTTAGTGAGCTCCCCCAAACTACCACATACCATACAAGAACATATAAAGCACATACTGGGCCTTGCCCACTGCATTGGACCGAGGTCCGGACTAATTGGGGCCTTGCCCCCTGCATCGGACCGAAGTCCGGAAACTGACTGGGACCTTGTCCCCTGCATCGGACCGAAGTCCGGACTAACTGGGGCCTTGCCCCCTGCATCGGACCGAAGTCCGGGAACTGACTGAACATAGCATGGCATAACATATCAACTAACATGAACACATATACTGCATACTGCATCGGGTCGTAACCTGGAACACATAACACATAACACATAACACTTAGCACATAAATCCTGTCTGAGCCACGAAGGCATCAAACATACTAACTACTGCATCGGACCGAAGTCCGGGAACTACTACTAACTGAACAGGCCGGCATTGTGGCCTTAGACCCATTCCTACTGGAAGGAAACTCACCTAAACTGTTGAATTTTACTGGTAACCCTCGGACTGCTAACCAATCACCATCTGAAACGCTGCTCCTCTAACTCTCCGAGCTACCAATAACAAAGCGACACTTAGCCTGACAGCCCTCTAAAAGTCAACTAACTCAACTCCGATCAAAGTCAAAGTCCTGGCCAAAGTCAACCTTCCATGTTGACCCTACTTGCCGAGTCAGTCTATTGACTCGCCGAGTTCACTGATTTCCGAGTTCTGTCATGTCCAACTCACTGAGTCATCCATTGACTCACCGATTACCGACTCAACCAGAAAATATTGGGACTCTTCGACAAGACTCGCCGAGTCCAAGAACAGACTCGCCGAGTCTAAGGCTATCTTCAACCTACTCGCCGAGTTGTTCATCCAACTCATCGAGTTCCAGCTCATCTTCAAGCAACTCGTCGAGTCTACCTATGTGACTCGCCGAGTACCACCGGTTTGAATCCATACAGAAGCATTCCAGGCCATGCAATTGATCCAAAACATAGATCTAGCCTCCTACAACCCATCCATCACGTAAAGTGGCAAACT